AATATAATAACATAGACTAGATATCGTAACAAATGTACGTGTACGTTATACATATTAAAATTGTTTCCAAAACACTTGAATTTGGACAACAAAAAACTCAAATGAAAGAAATTTTTACAATAGCAGCCACTTTTCACTCCAAAATTGAATTTCCCAATTAACAAAAGTGAATACTATCCTTTTTTTTAATTTTTTTTTTTAGTTTTTAAAGACAAATCTTTAATATGTGCATTCTTTTAAAGAAATACAATTAAATTCAAATATTTTAAGTGGAAATTTAAATTAAGAGATTGTAAAAAAATATTCGTAAGAATATTTGAAAGTGTGAAATATTTAATATATTCTGAAAAAGAAGTGGTTCTTTCAATCAAAAAACAATTTTTGACATTCTTTTTTGTTCTCAATCATGACTGTTTGGGAATAAAATGAATTTCTTAATTTGAGATCTAATTTTTACAACGTAATCTAAATTTTCAAAATAAAACTAATAAATAAATAAATGTTTAAATAAATAAAAAGAGTAAAATGAAACAATATAAAACAAAAATTAAAACTAATAGAGGGAAAAGTAAAATATCTTGACTATTAAAAGGATAATTTTTTAAAATTCTTTAAAAGATATATCGTCATTAAAAAAATTAATTTTTTGTTTGATAACATTTTATCCATTTTTTATTTAATGAATCTGCAATTCTTCTGCAATTTATCATTTTCTTCTTATTGTAGTTCTTTTCTAAGAATTTCAAAAATAAATATACTAAAGAAAATTATAATCATAATATACTGAAAGATTTGATTTCCATTATTTTAAGACAGTGAATATATATTGTATTCAGTAACAATATTTGCAAAACACTGATATTGCTTAAAGTAAAATATTATTACTGCATACTATATACACAGATATGCGATAAATTTTAATAATTTTATTTAAAAAAATAAAATAAAATTACACATATAAATTTAATAGATGAATTATGTTAGAAAATTTAATCACTCTTAATTTTCATATATGAGATTTAGTTTGAATCTTGTGATTTATATATTTTGCACATACAAAGATTAATATATAAGAAGTATAAATTTATTATTCGTATAAATAATAAAGGTTTTCATTTATATAAGTTATATTTTGCATGGCAATCAATTCATCATCAATTTTAGATAAAAAATATTCTATGAGAAAATTCAAACTAAAGAAGACTTTGAAATAAAGCTACCTTACAAAAAGAACAGCTTCAGCTTGAATATTTTTCATTGACAAAAACAAACGCAAGAACTTTTCGAAAAGAAAGCAGATTCTAAAAATGTTTGCTTAAAAACTTACCAGATTTTGTTCACCTGTTCTATCATCAATTAATTTAAGAGATGCTTCGAACAAAACATAACAAATCCCAAACATGTTCAATAAAAAACACAAACATGAAACATCTGCCTCTTCCTTAACTAATATAGATAGTGGTTCTTGGCCGGGGCAGCTTTCTAAAAAATGTTCTTCTTTTAGTTTATGGCTCCATATATACATAGTCTAACATGACACATTGTTTCCTAACAGTAAGGAAAAGTTCTGATGCATTATTTTTAAAGAATTCTGCATTTACAAAAAAATGTTAGGGGATAAAAATGATTTTTAGGAAGAAGAAATAGAAGATGGGTTCCAGAATTTAAAAAAATAAATAAAAGAAGAATGTAAATTGTTAATAATAAAGTAAGTAAGATCTGTGTATGATGTAAAAAAATAGAAGATAAACTGTTTGTCTTGCATATATTGGCAATAAATTATTCTTGTGAATTTTTATTATAATAAGTGAATTAAATATTTTTAAAGGACAAATATCTGACAAAAGAAGTCTTTTTTAAAAGTTAACATGTTTGAAGTCTTAGAATTCCTAATTTTAATGAAATAAAAATACCAGGCAGATAATGAAACAGCCTTTTCTTTTTTTAATATGTTTTGGGTTCTTTTTTTAAATGCAAGCATAGACAAAACATATGAGACTATTTATACAGATAAGAGTTATGTTTTGTACCGTATACAAAATAAAATTTATTAGTTTTAACTGTTATATTTTTTCTCTTTAGAATGAAAAAAAATTAAAATTCACGCAATTTGTAATCAAATTTTGATGTATAGCGAATTTTAAAACGATTTGTTAGGTCCATAAATGTGTATGAATAGAATATTTATGCATAGTATTTTACACATTTAGATTTTGTGCAAATTTCCGACTCTCGACAGGACATGATTTCTTAATAAACACTTGCAGCTATACATGGTGCAGCAACTAATGATGTCTGGCTTCTGTGCTCGTCAGGTGAAAGCATGGACTTTTTATATTTGACAGCATGCACTGCACTTGATTTTATGACTTTTAATTCTGACAACTTTACCAAGGCTCAATTTTATTGGGCTGCTAGAGTTCTTATGGTGGATGTCGCTACAGTTCGATGTAGGAGTTTAAAAAAAAACATTTAGATTTTATTATATTACACATTTAGATTCTGTATTTGATTCCAAAATAAAATTTTCTCTGGTCAATGCATAGTCCTTACCATAAGCGATGTAAAAATAAGAAATCCATAGCTAAAAATCGACTTTTTTCCCTTTTACCTCAGATAAATATAATAAATATCATACAAAATAAAGAAAAAATAAATTATTTATTAGATTAAAAGCTTAAATAACAAATACAGAAATTAATTAAAAGTAAAATATTTCTAATTTAAAATAGATTTGTAACGAAAAGACAAAATATCAAAGAAGTATTCTTTAATTTTACATTGTTTTAGATAATGCAAAATTAAAAAATACTTTTTTTTTTGTTCCTTCAGCTCCATCTTCTTCATTGGCACAACAGCCCCATGGTGGGCCAAGATCATTTGCCTGCTGGAAGATTTCGAGTCTTTTTGTTTCTTTTATTAAAAAAATTTATTTTGTTCAAGATGTGAATACATAGATACAAATAAATGACTATTTCAAATAGTGATAGACAGTTTAAAAGTTTCGATTGCTTTCAATATAGATGGTATAATTAAAAAAATACCTTTAAATGAATGTTTCAATGATGTTCAATCGATTTTCCTTAAACCACCACATCGATAAGCCATCATTCTTGTGGCGGTTTAACGAGTTTCAATGTAAACCCTTTTATGATGAAATATGAGGATGACGATTTAATTAAGGTTGACCGACGTATAAACGGAAATAAGCATTTCCCGTTTGAAGAAGACCTGACTTATATCTCAGAGAGTTTTACATAAAAAATGACGAACAAATGAGATCTTTTTCTATAACAACAATGTTGTAGAAAAATTCTTCAACATTAACAATGTTATCTGCTTTCAATATTCACTGAGAAATAAAACCATTGTTCGAAGGAGATCGAATTTTTATAAGGAATACAGCTGCAAAACCTCCAGCTTAATATCGCACTTGAGTATTCATACCATCCCTTTTATAGTGAAGTATGAGAATGACGATTTAATGAAGATTGACCGACGTATAAATGGAAATACCATTCCTAGACATACTATTCTTAGAAATACTACTCCTAGGATTTTCACCTAGACGTTTGAAGAAGACCTGACTTATATCTGAGAGAGTTGTACATAAAAAATGACTCACAAATGAGATTTTTTTCTATAACCAAATAATTTTCAAAACAATGCTATCTGCTTTCAATATTCATTGAGAAATAAATCTATTGTTTGGATTTCTATACGGAATACAGCAGCAAAACCTGAGGCTTAATATCACACTTGAGTATTCATAAATTATCTCCCAAACTACGTGACAAAATTAATGCCAATAAGTATTAATTCAGAAGCTAAATTAAATGCATTGCTGTTTGCAGAGCATTTCTCACATTTCTAAGACAAATGGGCATTGGTTCCATTGAGCATGACCAGCCCGACTAATTGCCAAAATGTTTTAACGAAATTGCCACCCAACGTGACTTAACGATTCAGTGTTGCCACTTCGGACCGTAACTTCGTATTCGTGGAATTCCCTGAATAGATTAAGGCACCTTCAGGTACAGGGGGCGCCGGCAAATTCAATTAATTTAGCAGCCCCAAGTCCAAATCCTATCGAAGTGCAGACGATTTTTCATTAAGAACAATTAAGAACGCTCTGTTTCAGTCACCTTGTGAAAAGCATTTCTTACATTTGTTTCGTTTGTTTGTTCTGGGAGGAAGATTCCTTTGCTTTGTTGAGTTTCACTTCAATTTGGTGATTACATGGTTTGCCTTTAAATTAGAACAAATAATTTCCTATTCAGGTTTTTAAGTATATTCAAACATATATCTGCAATTTGTTTGCACTAACTACTATTAATAAAGAACAAACATTTTTGTCGCCCTTTTTTTAATATTACAACGAAACTAAAAACAAATAATATAAAAACAAATTTTTTTAAAGTCAATTCCTTCTTTTTTTTCCACTATATTGCAGAAAATTTATTATAAATAATTTTCATTCATTTTTTAAGTTTATCTGGCGCCATCTATTGGTAGATATATGCAACGTAAATCTAAAAAAAAACTAAAATTAAATAATTAATTTTAATTGCTGAATTAATATTTGAAAAAACTGCATTAACGTCCAGTGTCATCCACTACAAGTTCAAACAAAAATGTATTTGAACTTGAGTGGAGGAATAAAAAGTATTTTAAGGACGATTGAAAATTTGAACAAGATATATATAGGGAGAGTGTGAGCTAATAGAAGGAATTGAAAAAAAAGAACAGCAATCTCGAATTACAGCAAAATAATAAAAGCAAAAATAATAAAAGCAAATATAATAAAAGTTGTTATATACGATAAAAATAATAAAAGTAAATATATTAGGACTATATTGAAGGGGAAGGAAATTGTATGGATTAGAAACTTTTGATCATTTAAAATTAAAAATATAGAATACATTAACAAGAATAACCACTCAAACACTATCACCGTTTCGAAATTTCAAACCTGTGGCAAAAGCGCCAGAGCGCTAGAAACGGCACGCAGTGTTCCCAGGTGGTCATACTGACCGCGCCCAATGATGCTCAACTTCGGTGATCTAACGAGAACCGGTATATTCAGCATGGTACGGCCGTTGGCTACAAAGCAAATATAATAAAAACAAATATATACGATAAAAATAATAAAAGTAAGTATATTAGGCTATATTTCAAATTTAATTAAAAACTTTTTAATCATTTAAAATTAAAAAATATAAAATACATTAACAAGAATACTCAAACACGATCGTTTCAAATTTCAAACGTAAAAAATTAAGAATAATAATATCCAGAAAAATAAGCTAAATTAAAATCAGACGATTTTTATATTATTTCCAATTTGTAGTTACATTATTTTAAAAATTGAATAATATATATTAAATAAATAATAAAAATAAAATAATAATAATTAATAATTAAATGAATAAAAATAATTAATAATTGAATGAACAAAATAATTAATAATTGAATGAATAAAATAATTAATAATCATTAACAAATTAATAATTATTTAGAAAAAAAGAGATTATTAACTAATTATTAATTAATTAATGATGAGCAAATGAGAAAAAAGAGCAGCTTGAATATATGAATATTTTTCCCATATCAAACTAAAATTAATTAATTAAATTTAATGAATGAATTAATATTTGAAAAAACTGTATTTAATATCCAGTGTCATCCACTAAAAGTTAAAAAAAAATGTATTTGAACTTGAGTGGATGAATCAAATGTATTTTATGAACGATTGAAAATTTGAACAAGATATATATATAGAAAAAAGTGTGAGCTAATAGAAGGAATCTAAATAATATTTAAATCTCTTCAGGAATATGTTTGATTGAATTTTATTCATTCAATATCTACGGTGATACAGAGAGCATAAAAAAAAATAATCGTCTCCGTATATACAGCTGTTTATAGTTAATGCTATTACGAATGAAAATAATTTTTTATTATGATTGCATTTTATTCATACAATATCGACGGTGATACAGAGAGCATAGAAAAATAAATAAATAATCATCTCCGTATAGGCAGCTATTTATAGTTAATGCCATTACGAATGAAAATAATTTTTTTATACAATGCAGGACTAGATGCAATTTCATATGTAATGTTGATTCTTGATGTTTTTCCCATTTCATACAATTTTTTTAAGAATTTGGAAAATTTCAGACCTAATTTGTTTTTTTTTGGGGTTAGGAGGTATCTAGAGGAACTACTATTACTCTTACTACTACAATTACTTTATATTATCCCAGTACTTTTTGGTAGAACAGGACAGGATTCATACGTAATTTTATGAATAATAGATTTTATACAATTGCTTACTTAATATGGATTCTTTACATAGGGATATTATATTATTCAAATATTTAGAAAATTCGTTTGACATTCTTAAGACATCTTGGAAAATTTTTGTTTCCTTTTTTTAAGATAATGAACTTCACAATATTTAGAAAAGTATGTTATACGATAAATAAAATAAAATAGAAATAGAATAAAATGCTAAATAATTTTAAGCAATAGTTCTTCAGCAGATTTAACTATTTTTTCAGTTAGATAATTAAAATAAAAGCCAAACACACACACACACACACATATATATGGTTTTTTATTCTGAAAATATGTATATGTTTGCAAATATCATTGTGTGCTTATTAATTATTTAATTCATCATCATCATCATTAGTGGCTTAAAGCTCAGCTGACAAATTTCCAATTTCAGCATCTGTTCATCATCATCATCAGTGGCGAAATAGCCTCATGGTGGGCCAGACGTCTTTAATCCACCATGGGACTGTTGGCAGATTTCGAGACAGGAGATGTTTTCTTTTTATGGGGTAGGATTGACAGCCCTACGCTCAAACGCTCTGCAGTCATATTAGACCGAGACCTGCGGTTTTAAAGTGGATTTCGAACCACCACAAATATCCATTTCCCAGCCTGGACTGAAACCCGAAACATGTGGCCTCAAAGGCCAGAGTGCGACTCAATCAGCTATCAGGTCTTAATTATTTAATTAGAATACCTTAATTATTGCAAATTAACTTATAACAGAAGATGCATTACAATACTAATGCCATACATGAAAATATTATTATATTTGAAAAGTTCAATAAAATTCATGAAACAAAGTTTTTTAAAGATTCATTTTATTCGCAAAGCAAAATACGCTCTCCAAACGAATAGCCAAATTTATCACTTTTCATCGAAAGAGAACCTGTACAGCTAATCAGCATCTTATCTATCATTATTTTCTTGATTCACTTCAGTTCCAATACAAATTCTTCTCATGACTCAAAAAGCGCAGACGATTGTTGATTTGCTGCTCGTTTGCCAGTGAAATCGCGTTGTTATCTAGAGGGTGTCCTGATCTAATTGGATTAACGATGAGTTTGTAACAAAAAAGATGGAGGGGGCTTACGAATTTGGGATAATTTTCTATGCTAATTGGAAGGAAGAAATGTAGAAGATGATAAATTTACGACGTTCGAAAGTGCGGGAGACAAATTACTACTTCCGGTGCGGATAGGGGGCCGGAAGTAGGTGCAAGGGAAAAAAAAGCACTAAAGATCAGCTTGTTATTCTGGACTTAACAAGGCAGGAATCTATCATCCCTAAAAAATTTTTTTTCTCACTTTTTTTTTTATGCGTGGCATCGTGCAGCATAAGATTTATTTTAGAGCAGATATATTTATATTAAAGAAAAATGATATCAAATAACAGCTTTTCAGGGAAAAAAAGTGTGGTACATTTGTATGATAAATGACATATGTATGGTAAAGCATTGAAAAGTTTTAAATGCTGCTGTATTTGATATCTATGGTATTTTTTAAAATTTAATCTGCTTAAAATATATGCATACATAACTAAATATAAAGTAGTTAAATGTCAAAAGAAATAACTAATAATAAAAATAATTGAGATATATTAATTTTAAGAAGCTATTGCATTTTACAAATCAAAGAATGTTATGTCGAAAGAATACAGTTTTAGAAAAGAACAGATACAGATAAATTACAGATTTTTAGAAAATACGATTATAAAATACGCTTAAATTATTTATTAAAATAAAAAAAATAAAAAATTAGAAGTATTTTTTTTATCCAAAATAGTTCATATAAGAAAATTGATAGCATATTTCTTTATGTGTTTTCTTTTATGGGAATTTGAAATATTGCGATGCTTAATTCATGACATTTTATTATAAAGAAACATTTCCTACAGATTAATGAACATTTAAATGTAAAAAGCATAAACAATTCAGGATAATATGAGTTTCACATTAGTTTCGTTTGTACGGAATTTTAATTTAAAATTTTATTTTCTCTATATATAACCCTTAATTGATATATTTTGAACCCGAAACTTGGAATTTGGTAAGATCTGATGAGACCCATTTGGGTATATTTGAGAAGAAGATTTTAAGGGCTAAGGAAAGGAAAGTGATTGTTAGAGAAGACGGTACAATGTAAAATTTATAAATGCTATAAAGACCCAGATATTATAAAATTTATTAAGATCAATGGATTAAACTGGGCTGCTTATGTATTTAGAATGAATGATTTAAATCCTGTAAAAAGTCTCGTTTTGGCAAAGCCACAGGGACAAAAAGGAAGGGGACGACAAAAGTTAAGATGGATAGACGCAGTTGAAAAAGATTTTGCTGAACTGAAGGTTAAGAATTGGAGGACCCTTGTCACCCAGAGGAATGCATGGAAATCTCTTCACAGGAAAGCCTTGGCTACTCTGGGCTGTCGTGCTATTGATGATGATGATTTTCTGTGAAAGTTTATATTAATTTTTTTACCATATAATCTTTTTTTAAATATAATTTACATTAATATTACATCTACTTAATAAAATATCATTTGATTTTCAATGTAGAATTGCTTAAAGAAACTAACGAAGGAAACATTTATTTGCAGCTTTATAAAATATTAAAAAGTCTTTAAATTAGATTGTCGTTGAGCTTTTTTATACAAAATATTTGATAGAAAATAATAAAAATTTAAATATTAATATATTTTAAAAAAAAGCATCTTAAATGTTTTCTTAATAATTTTAATTCTGTTATAGTTAAGATAATTTAAGAATAAGACTATTAGCGGATGAGAATAAAACATTAATTGAATTTTAAATTTTCTTCTATTGTCTAGAACTTTTATTTTACACAAAATTCGATTAATGTTTTATTCTTAACAGCTAACACATATTCAAAAGCCTTAAGATTATTTAAAATCTTATGGAGAACAACCATCATTGTATTATTTCCATGAACCGAAAAATGTTTCGCTAAAATTAATTAATTAAAAAATTTTTACTTCGTTTCTCTTTTGTTGAAATGTGATACAGATTCAAAAGCTACTGAATAAAATTCCTTCAAATAAAAAGTTTCTCAACAGTGTTTAAAAATTTCTGTAATGTAGTTAAATCGGAGGTACAGAAAGAAAATAATCAAAAAGCAGAATTAATTAACACATAAGATGCAAAGAAAAAAAAAAGTATTATATTCTAGAAAATGCCTCGGGCAATTTAGAGCGGAAAACACTTGTCCAATCTCTTCAAATATATTAACTATTCTTTTCTATTCCATTCCAGAAAACGGGGCATAATTCCAAAAGGATGAAAAAAAAAAAAGAGCATGGATAAAATTCTTTTCTTTTTTTACTCACAAAGTAGCAATTACTTTAACAAAAGATCATGCATAAACATGAACATGCCATTGAAATTGTATCAGCTTTCATTGTGCACATTTCTCTGTCTATAGACGGATTAAAGCACTTACTCAAAAAAATAAAGCTAAAAAAATAAAATTCTTTTTCACTAAAACAAGCCAATCGGAACAAAAGATTTCAGAAAAGAGCTTTGCTTGGCGGAATTCTTTTTGCGTTTAGGAATCGCACTGTCATGTCGTCTCGAAAGCGGCGTCATATCCGGCGATCCGACAAGCGTCACTTCCGTTTTCTTCGTACATGGTTTGTTTTGATTTCGTTCGGCACTGTATGAATGGCTTCTTCAGGATGGAACAGAAGCGGCGTGTCAGAATGGAAGACAGGGCATTTCCTGGCGGGTTGACAATCTGAATAA